CACCAAGATGATTATTGGTGGTACTGGATGGGCTTAATTAAAGTGTTTAAAATACATGCTTGGGGATTCTTAAGTCTTTTCTTTCTCTTTCCAAATGTGGGGTGGTTCCTGTTAGCTCCAAAGCATTGGAAAATAGAAATGGAAAGGAAGTTGATGTCAAACCCTGCTAATGACACAATCTATGATTATGTGACTATTATAGGAACAGCAGTCTTTGGAAGAGACAGTATCTCATTTGGAAAAATTCTATCCTAGAACTGGAGTTGGAAATCATCATTATATTTCTTTACTATATTAGAGTAATTTACTATATTGTCCAATTTAGTTACAATTCTGTCACACCAGAGAAATAATTATTTTAAAAATAGGATTACAGGCAATTACTTACATTTTATAATAACTTCCTCCAAATAGATGTTTTGACATTCTTCTTAGATCGTTGCTATTCGTTTAGTACCAAAATATATTTTAGTGTGTCATGTGTCCCCCCCGAGAATTAGGACTTGTCAGTAATAGCTGCCCACTAAACATGAGAACAGAATTAGTACATGAGTTGAATGACAAGAAGCAGTCAAATTGGGGGATGGGGGAATTCCAACATCTGTTAATTTGAGTTGAAAGATGGTTTGCCTGGCATTCTCTGATGATACAAAAAAAATAATAAGAATGTAGAATTTTATTCTCTTAATCATGTTTCTTAGTGCCTAGAAGCTTTTATTTAGTTATCAGGATTAGCCTACTTTTCTCCTCCCTGGGCAAATTACTTTTGTCCCTCAGTTTTCTTATTTGTAACATGAGGGAGTTGGATTAGATGGTTTCTTCTAGGTCTGATTCTTGAAATATGAATTAGGTCCAAAAAGACATTTCTGCAAGCCACAAAGAATTGGGTTGTGGTTAGCATAAATGGCTTCTTGAGGTTTTCCTTTTAGAAATTCTTAAGCTCATTCATAATAATATTTTATAGGCAATGGATAAAACAAATATGGAGGACTTTGGACATCAGAGACTTCTAGGGGGATTTAAGAAACCTTTTGGCATATAACATCAGGATGGCAATTCACTCTCCAACATTAGCTGATGATTAGGCTGGCTTAGAATTTCACTTTCCAGAATAACAAACTGTGGAGTATATTCTTTCTATCAATAAGTATTACAGATGGGGTAAAAATCCTTTTATTCTTGGCTTCCTAGTCACTGACAGCACCTAGACCCCACCCCCAACACAGCTTGAATGGCTGGGTTTAGCTGCTCTGTAAAATGTTCCCTGATAGATTCCCTACAGCGTGTAATTAAATGGTTCCCTGACTTCTGCCACTTTAAAATAGAAAGATTTCTTTTCTTCTTAGACGGAATACCTGAGGAAAAGACACTCAGGGCTCAGTGAGAGCCTTGCCTCCTCTTTTGTGTCTACGGTTTTTAAAAAATCAGCTTTGATTCTCCATGAGATCACGATTGAAAAGGCAGGAACTCCCAGCTGTGGGGATGGCATTAAATCATTAAGCCAAACAGAAAAGAAAGGCCTTTGGTGAGGGAATGTGAGGAACTAACAACCTCTGATTAGGCTAGAACTTTATGGGAGGCTGACCACCATTCTCTATCAGAAGCCAAGCAAATGGGTGTCACTTGGTTGTTTGTTCCAGCAGCACCCACTTACAGTCTCTCCTGATACCAAAGGGAACAATTGACATTCCTGCACTTGGAAAAAACTAAAGTAAGGCAGGGAACTCCTCTATCACATATGAAATATCCCAGGCAAGTAAAACAGGGAAGCAATTTTGTTTTCTCTTTTGCATGCTCATTCATTTAGTAGGCAGCCTATTTCTTATACAACAGACTTGTCAGGATTCTATGTATTTCCTAAAATGTTGTATTGTAGCTAGCCTTGCTGCCCAGCAATTTTTATTATGAAATCAAGAGGCATATCATGTAGGACTTTAAATTAGACGTCGAATGTATCAGAGTAAAGTCTTTATTGTGGATAACCCAAAACTGGAACCTAACTAAATGGAATTCTTAGTAAACTGTACACACACACACACACACACACACACACACACACACATCCCACTAATTATCATCACTGGGCCATCTCCAATTGTCTTGATCTATATCTTGCCACTGGACCCAGATGGCTCCAAAGGAGAAAGTGAGGCTGGTGACGTTGCACAGCTCTCCCTCACTTAAATCCAATTCACTTCCAATTAATGGTGTCACCTTCCTAATGTCATGGTCCTCTTCAAGAAGGAAGGACAAACTGAGCGCGCGCACACACACACACACACACACACACACACACACACACACCCACCCACCACCACCACCACCACCACACTAAATTTCATTTATAAGAAAAGCAGGAAAACAGACTGATATCAGGGATTAAGTAAAAGAAAACAAAATCAAACCAAAACCCCCATAATTTTCAGGGTATCATCTTCAGTTCCTATCCACATCTCCTATGCCATCAATATGTGTCGTACAACAAAATCACAACTTACATTCAGCAGGATGATCCTGAGATTGGATTAGATCTTTAACCTTCAAAAATAATCATCTCACCTATAACGTACTGTAACTAGTGAGGCAGCAACATGAACTAATAGATTTAGGAAAGATTTTCAGTAACATAGGTAGAAACAAAACAGTTGTCCCATTAACCCATAGTTGACCAGAATTTCCTGTTTCTCTGTATTTGCTAGATTAGATATCACTGTATAATAATACTACAAATACTAACGCAGTACTTTGGATTTATATAGTCTTTCTTCCAGGGAACTGAAAATGTCTTATTCACAATTTATTATTCAGTCTTACAACAACCCCAAGAAGTGGTAGGGAGTACTTGAATTGAACAGATGGCTTCTGTTTTGCATTACTGTTTATATTAGGGCTGGAGAAAGGATTTTGTTGCCTCTTTTTGTGATATGCATAAATAAAATCATAGAATATGAGAAGAAAGGGGGGCCTTTAAGACAAACTCCTTCGACTTTTCCATTGTATATCAGAGAGAGTTGTAGAAAGATGGAGTGATTTGTCCAAGGTCACACAGCAAGTCAGTGGGAGAGCTGAGAGGAAAACCCAAGTCTACTCAGGGGTCTGCCAGAGCTGGCTCGAACTAGTTTGCCCCAGCAGATTGTTAATTTTTCAGTGCAAGCATTTATACCTCAGAAATTAGCAAATACTACAAATTAAGGTTTGATTTATTATTGTGTTGATTTAGACTTAAGAAAATGATAGGGAAAATGTTAATAATGCATATTAAATTTAAATGTGTGTTGTATGTACACCCCCCTGCACCACCGAGAGCTGGTTGTTAAACATTTACCAGCACACTCTTGCTTCTGATTCTCTCTCTTTACTTTCCTTTATTATAAAATCATGGCTTTTAGAACTCTAAGGGAACACAGGGATTGTTTAGTTCAGTGTCCTCATTTTGCAGATGAAGAAATTGTAGCCCAAAGGAAAGAAATTATTTTTTCAATGTCACTAAGTGACCCCTATGGTGTTGCTCCTCCTCCCTAAGCCTTTCATTTTGTTACCATGTTTGTGAAACTCCCAAAGAACTAAAACATAACAAATTGAGAACCAATGGAATTAGGATACAAGTATGAATAACTTATGAAGCAACTTATGAATAACATATGAATCACATCCTCAGTATTTGAAAGTCAAATATTATGTGCAGAAAATATATAAAAGGAAAATCCTATCCTATTTGAAGGCCACTACCACTTATAATTCCAGTGCCTAAGAGGAATAATTTAGACCGTAGCCAGAAGTGATGATCAAAGATCAGATTTTTAATACCATTTACTTGTTCCTCCTTGGCCAGACCATGGCTGCCTAGAAGAAAGAAGAAGTCTTTTGTGTTTATCTAGAAGTCTTTTATGTGTTTAGATTATGAAGTCTTCAAAAACAAAAGTCATACCACTGTGTTGGACAACAATCCAATATATTAATAAGTAGCTATTATAATGATAAATGAAAACACTAAATAATAACAGTTATCATTAATGATTATAACAAACTTGTTTTTGATTGGTTTTCAGTTGTGTACAGCTCTTCATGACCCCATTTAGGGCTTTCTTGGCAAAGATTACTGGAGTAGTTTGCCATTTCCTTCTCCAGCTCATTTTCCAGATGAGGAAACTGAGGCAAACAGGGTGAAGTGACTTGCCCAGGGGCACACAGCTATTAAGTGTCCAAGACCAGATTTGAACTCAGGAAGATGAGTCTCCCTGACTACATCACCTAACTGTCCAATAAACTTATACACAGTAGATATTTGACAAATGATTGCTAATTATGTTAATATTTATTCATCAATTAATTCTTAACAATAATTTGTCACAATATACAATCATGTTAGCAGCAAAGAAATTTTCATCTTAAACTCAGCCAACAACAAAATCTCTATTGTCTTAAATACAGTAGGTGCTTAAAAAATGTTTGTTGACTGATTGGGAAATGACACAACTTCATCATGTGTACATTCTCAATACAGTCCCATGTTTTAGATGTAATCATGATGAGACAATAAAAGTCCTGTGCATCAAACAGACATAAATTTTTCCAAATGGATTGTTGACATGGGGCACCTGAGTGGTGCAGTGAATAGAGCACTAGGTGTGGGGTCAGGGAGACTCATCTTCCTGAGTTCAAATCAGGCCTTAGACACTTACTAGCTGTGTGACCCTGGGCAAGTCACTTCACCCTGTTTGCCTCAGTTTCCTCATTTGTAAGATGAACTGGAGAAGCAAATGACAAACCACTCCAATATCTTTGCCAAGAAAACCCAAATGGGGTCATAACTGAACAATAACTAAATCTGTTAACTTCTAATTTAAAAATAGGTGATATTTCACTTAGAGGGACGACCCATGCGGGTAGAGTCAGAAAAGATTTTTTTTTTTTGCAAGGTCCCTATGAGCTTTATTCTTTTGACTATCAAATGATTCATATTTGAGCATGTACTTAATTCCATTTCTGATTTTCCATAGGTATAAAAACAACGTACCCATTAACGTCCATGCTAACCCTGGAAAGTACATCATTGAGAGCCGATATGGAATGCACTATCTGGAGATTAATGCGTAAGGGAATCAAAACTTCCTTGTGTGTCCTTGAAAAATTTCTTGGTGATGTGTGTGTGTATGTAGATATGTGTGTATGTGTATGTGGTTGTGTATTTGTGTGGTCCTACGTGTATGTGTGTGTATGTGGTCCTATGTGTATGTGGTCCTGTGTATGTGTGTGTTCCTGAGTAAAAGGTGTTTAAAATAAATGTCATCTGAAGGAGATGGTGCCTGGACTGTCTGAGCTGGAAGGTATTTTAGATGTCAGCTAGCCCAATCCTTTCACTTTATAGTGGAAGAAATTGAGGCTCAGAGAGTATGAGTGACTTTACCAATATCACAAAGCTTATTAGTGTCAGACCTGATACTTCAGTCCAGTTGTCCAGAGTTTTTTGTCCTAGTATGTTAATAAATTAAGTCATTCTATTTTGGCTGGAAGATGGAACAAAAGCTCTCTGAGCTGAAGTTGGATATGAGGTGGGTGACTTTGAACAAATTCCTTCACCTCTCTGAACCTACTTCTCTGCTTATAAAATAATTGGGCTGGACAGATGATTTCCAAGGTCTAGTTTCTTATGAGTCTTGTAAATTCTGAGAAGAGCTAGGACAATGCCCTGGGTAAAGTTTCAAAACTGTGACACTTCCCCCTCCCCTATTCTCTCCTTCCCCCACTTAAGTGCGGTGGGGAGGGAGGAAGGAAGAGTTTGAGCTTTCACCGTAACATAAATGATTTGACACCAATGGACTACAAGAGAGTAGAATTTTCTGGCATTTAAAACGATAAGAAGTGCCATTACGAAGTGTCTCGCACTGGGTCTCCCTGATTGTACCCTAGGCAACCATTTACCCTGCCCCCCCCCCCAGGTCCAGTTGAGGTTCTGAGCCTCCGTCAGCTCTAAGTGCCTATGCATAGTTGCATTGCCTTCTTAGACTTATTTTCTCATTTCTTGCTTAGACATACAAAGCAAAATCATTCAGAAATGTAATTCTACTAATTCTTAATGGGTATCTAAAAGTATGAATATTAGTGATTCATATTCTTGATACATACCTGCTATTATATGGAACCAGTGCTATATAATGCCAAATTCATTCTACAGACTACTCAGGTTTTGTTTATGTAAGAGACAAACTCTGAAGTGTATAGGGTATGTGTTCATAGTTATTCTTCTTTATGCATTCCCTGAAGGCTTTTTCCATAATAATATTTTATATTATTTTCCAATTGCATATAAACATAGTTTTCAACATTCATTTTTGTAAGATTTTGAGTTCCAAATTTTTCTCCCTCCCTCCCTTTCCATCCCCCTTCCCAAGATAGCAAGCAATCTGATATTCCTTGAAGATTTTGTAGAATTGTAGGAAGTAAGAGCTGTGGTAAGTTAGGTCCTTTGAGGCCACCTAGCCTAAACCCCTCATTTTTGAGAAGAGGAAACCCGGACCTGATTTCTGCATTGCTCAAGGTAACGTGATTTATTTCTGGCACAAACCACGACAGGAACCCAAGTCTTCTGATTCTGCAGACTTCTCTTGTCTTTTCTGTTATGTCATATTGCCTTTTTGTTTTTTTTTTTTTTTTTGAGGCAATTTGGGTTAAGTGACTTGCCCAGAGTTACACGACTAGTGAGTATTATGTGTCTGAGGCCGGATTTGAACTTAGGTCCTCCTGACTCCAGGGCCGGTGCTCTATCCACTGTGCCACCTAGCTGCCCCACCTCTTTGTTTTTTCAAAAGCACGAACAAGAAAGGTAGTTTCTAAATTGTTATTGTGTAAATTGCATTTATTTCATTATATCTCTTTGGTCCCAAAATGGCTTCATTGCTTCTCTTCTTGTCAATAATTACAAAAAAAAACAAAAACAAAGCAGTAATGTCTTGCTTGGGAGGTAAACAGATGGTTGGCAGATTCTCTCTCTCTTTTTTTTTCCTTCAGCCTTATCATGACCATGAGAAATTGACCACATCTGTATATATTCAATGGTACCATGCAACGAAACATTTCATCTCACTAATTAGGCTTTATTCAATTTCCTCATAAAGAACACAAGGTTGGACAAGATGTCCTCTAAGGTTTTGCCCGCTCTAAGATTCTTTCATTTCAGGAAAAATGAGACCCAAATCATGTGCTAACCCAATGTAAAGTTTGACATCAGAATTCATTTCAATCTTTTGAGGTTTTTTCCCCCAAAGTTCATTTCCTCTATTTAGGCAGTTTCAAGAAAGCAGCTTGGCATGGTAAATGAAAAAGGCTAAACAAAGTCCAGGCATTTTCAGTTCAGATAAACCCTGGAAATCCGGGGATGTCAAAAGAAATTTTGCATGTGGCGAGTCTCTGGAGAGTTGTAGTCTTTTTCTCAGATCAACAAGTTTGCATAAGTTGGCAAACTTCAGATGTGGCTCCAAATGGAACCTTGTGAGATTGCCCTCAGCCTTGATCCTGACCCAAAGTCATCACAAATCTTCTGGAATGGCTAGACTCAGCGCTTCATGGCTCTGCTGAGCTCCAAGGCTGCTTTAGTTACCTCTGGCTCAGTACATGCTGGATCCTTGGTGGCTACAGAATAAATCTAAAGAGGAAACTGCATTCACTTTAGTCAACTATCAAGTACTTAGCCTGTTCTGTACTGGCTAAACTTAACTAAGAGCAAAGGAGAACATAAGGAAAAATGTGATGTATTAGTCAGTCGAAAAATCACTTATACAAATGCCTACTATGTGCTAAGAACTGTGCTAAAGACACAAAGAAGGACTTTAAAAAATGCTGCCCCAAAACACTATGCCTATATGAAGGAGTGATGGACTCTAAGATTTGGGTTCAAATTCCACCCCTGACACTACCTCTGCAAGTCGCTTAATCTTTATGTCCCTCAGGCAATTCTCTGGAACCTCAATTAAGTCAGTTGGCCTTCATCTCTTTTGGTGAAGGGAGTTCCCACACTTAAAATTGCAATATTCCCACACATGTATGTATTTGTATACAAATGTGCTGCCGTTATTCTTATTCCTCTTCAGAGATAAATCAAAACTCTGTGTGTGTGTGTGTGTGTGTGTGTGTGTGTGTGTGTGTGTGTGTGT